AAAAAAAAAAAAATGTTGGGTGGATTTTAGAACAAAATCTCTATTCGGTTCACAGAAATAGAATCTATCCTTACATAATTTAACTCTTTAGCAAAACAAAACAAAACAAAACAAAAAAACCCACTGCTTGTATAAATCTATATACTTGGTATGAGGATTGACCCTGAGAAGGAGAAACATGAGAGCCAATGTCCCCCCAAGAGCCAGTGTCCCCCCAGTAGGAAGCCAGATGTGACCTGAGAACAGGGCGAGTGTGGAGAGCATGGGAAGCTATCTGCAGAAGAGAAACAAAGTATGGAAAGTGGGCAGGGAGTAGACCTGGAGAGGACTTGGAAGTCAGGCAGAGTTTGCATTTTAGTTTGAAGATGAGGGGGCAGTTGGGCCAGTGCAGGGCTCTGTTCAGCAAACTATTCTGATGGTCTGGGAGTGCAGGGAGAAGACTGGGGAATCAGAAAACCTGATGGTGATAATGAACCGAACAGACACGGGAAGCAGGCAAGTGGGGTGGTTTTGGAGGAGAAAGTGAGGATTGGAAGTCATGCATTGGAAAGAGAGGAGAGATAATAACAAGGAGAATGAAAATCTGATCCAAAAGTATGCCGTAAGCCACTGGCTTCTAACCCAACGTGAGAGACAGGAGAGGAGGCAGTTAAAGTTACTGACCAGGGCAGACTGGGAAATATTAACTTTGTTGGGCACCCAGAGAGATTATCCATGAGGCAATTGGCAGCATGGGCTTGCAGTTTGGAAAAAAAGTCAGGACTTAAGTGTGATCATCCATGCAGGGAAAGAAGCAGATAGCCAGGATGGGCCTGGAGAATGAGTCTATATAAGTGCAGTCAGATAAAGAAAGAGGAGAGCCACGAGCCTAGAGAGAGTCAAGGTGAGAGATGAGAAGGTCAGCAAACCCAGGGTTTCCCCTGAATCACTGCAACCTTGAGTCACCCCTCTTTCACCCCGTCACCCCCCTCCTCTCCCTTCTACAACCCCATCCCCAAACTTCCTACTTCCCTACTGGCCTCTCCCTGTCTCCCATCTCCTCCTGACCAGAAGGGTCATACTAAGCCCACGTACAATGGTGTTCCACGTGATCTCCCAAGCTCTCAACCCCACATATCTGAACATATAACTGCTCTCACTTTTCATAACCAAATAGCTCACACTATCAGAGACAGAAGAAAGTCCTCAAATTTCATATAATGTAAAAATCGTGAATTCTTATGTCTCTCCATCAGGCACCAGTGAATCCTTCAAAACAGAGGTCACTTTGACCACAGGCACACACAGCAGGGACACCAAGGCCAGCCCTGTGGGCGGGGAGAGCCTGCAGATGCAGGGGCAAGGGACCAGGGTGGGCAGAGACCTGAGAGACCAGAGCACTTCCCAAGGGGGGCAGAGGAGGGGCCCTGTCCTAGTAGAGCTGTGATCAACAGCCCCTCAGTGGTGAGAGGCAATCAGCAGACCATAAGTCAGCTGCCACCACCCCGCTCATTGACTGGTGAGCTGTTATAATGTTTCTACAGACCCCCTTAAGTAGGTCTCAATAAACAAAAATATACAGGGAATTAGCCTCTCTGCCTCTCTACTAGCTCAGTAAGGTCCTAGAAACTGAGCCATACCTGTGGCATGAAGACCCAAACGCTGGAGAGGTACACACAGAACGGGGCGATGATGCTCCCCACGCGGCTCACCATGCTGCCACTTCCCACCGCCAGAGACCTGAAAACTCGGAGTATTAAGATAGCAGGCAGAACTGAAGGCAGAGTAGTGGATGGACTTCCCAGAGCCCTGGCCACCCTCCCAGAGGAGAATAAATAACACAGCTTGAACTTGGCTTAATATACATGGAATTAACTTTACGTTTTTAAGAATCACTCTACTTGTATCCAGATTCTGCAAAACAGCCTGAAGGTAATTCCAGACAACTTGAGATTTAAAAAAAAAAAAAAAAAAGGGCAAACTATGCTTCATGTACTATGCAGAAGTGGCCCTTATGTATATTCATTTAGTCAAATGTTAAGGAGAATATCAGTCTTCTGGAGTAGGGATTTGTATGGGGTAGGAAGAAGGAACTTGGAAGAAGAAAAGATAATCTATGGAATATTCCATTTCAATTTTTTTTTAAGTCAAGTCATATCTTAATATGCTTTTCTTTACATTTATTTGAAAAATCTAGTACAATGTCTAGCAGGAAGGAAGAATGTGCTTTTCATGTACGTGTTCCTCATTAAGTCAAGGGGAGCAGCCTGGGAGGAACCTAACCTGCCACATACCTTGACCTTCAGCTTCCAGAACTGAGAAAATAAACTGAGGCTTTGAGATGGCAGCCAACAAACTAACACAAGTGACCTCAGGTGACCAGCAGGCCCAGCACAACTCCAGGCCCTGGAGTTATAGGCAGAGGCAGCATCAATCAACTATTTTAAATGATATTAGGATAAGGGAGTGTTAATTCAAAACAACTTATCTGATATTCTGTCAATAAGATACAAAGTCTCAGATTCTGAATCGGTATGATCATGTAACGTCCCCAGATTTCAGAGCCTAGAGCTACTAGGACAGAAGGAAATCCTTCCCAAAGGCCAAATATAATGAAATGACGTCTAAATGAAAGCCAGCAAGAAAGCAACAGGAAATGGACTCTTACCTTATGACTGTTGGATACAGCTCTGCTGTATAAAGGTAAATGAGACCAAAGGATGCCCCTATGGTGAACTTCACAGCCATAGTTACCAGCACAGTCCAAATATAGTGATTCTGGGGAAAACAACATCAAAGTAGACCACTATAATTAAATTTTTAAAAATTTAAAGATTTACTTAAAATGTTCTAGCTCCTTGGTATTTTTCAGAGCCATGAAGCATTTTTCCTTTTGAGTTTGTCTTGCAAATTCTGTAAATGGGTGGTCCCTAGGAGAAGGGAAGTTCCAGGTTCCCTGCCCCACCCAGAAGGAGGGTGGAGCTGAGCAGAGAAAGAGGGGAAGAAAGCCAGATGGAGAAAAAGACAGAGACCTAGGGAAGCCACATGGAGCAGCAAGCATGTGATGAAGAAACCGGGCTTGTTTCCTGACCCTGGACTGGTTAAGGCAGAGGTGGGTGAGGGACCTGTAGGGAGGTGACTATGGCAGTGTTTATATTGATTTGATTTTGCTCTTTTCCTCCCAGACTTGTCTGGCCATTTCTGACCCTTTTCCATGGGCCCCAGCCAGAAGGTGCTTTAGTCTTGTGGCAGGCTTTCCTTGCTTTGGGCCAATCCCTTTTGGGTGGACTTTTGGCCACGAGGGGATGGGTAACTTCAGGTGTTTGATTTAGAAGTTATATTCTTTGTGTTCCATATTGTATATTCACTGTATTAAAGTCATTTTTCATTAAAGCTTTATATGTTTTGTCTTGTTGCGGCAGATGGCAGAACCCACTTAGAGCAGGCAGGTTTTGGGGCTTCAGGGGTGCCTCTCTCTCTCCCTGTCATATAAAAGATTTGCTGCCCTATAACAATACTACTGCTTAATAATACTATTGCTTAATATTATATAATCTCTGGAGAAAATTTTTTGTAAAATATTATTACAGTTAGCATATCTTCCAAAATGAAAACACAGCTTTTGAAAACGTTTTCTCTGGGAAGAGGAGGACCACTTCTGGGAGCATGAGACATTCTAGGCAATGGAGATTGCCTAGATAAAGGAACATCAAAGTCATTTAAGGAGTTTTTTATGGCAGTTTTTCACTGAGAAATTGTATTTTTAAAAGCAAGCTCCTCAGGGGATTTACACATCTTATTAGAAATTAGGAGTTATCATCTATCAATGAACGTCCAAAGCTCATAAAATCCAAACTTTCCTGAACATGTAACTCATTATATCCTGCCAGTGTCTATATGGATCCTTCCTTCCCTCAGGCTTCTGATCAAACATCACCTTCTTTGAGAGCCACACAACCTATGATTACTCTAGGTAAAATAAAATGAACAGAGTCACTCTGTCTCTTATCCAGCTTTGTTCTATTTTTAGAAAGTTGATTTACAGTGTGTTTTCAACATCTAGAACAGCAACTGACACATAACTTTGTAGGATGATAGATGCATATTTAAGATGACAATAATAACCAGAAAGTGTAATCTACCTTCTTCGCCCAAGATTATTGTGTTTATAAAGTATCACACAGGCCACCTCTGGGAAATGGAATGATGGGATTTTGTTCGTTTTTCACGTTTTTCTTCTGCCTTAAATTTTCTACAATGAAAATGTACTTCTTACATGACAGAGAATGAAAGAGTCTTTAAAGAAAGTCTATTTTTTACAGGCTGCCCATATACCTGGATTGATTTTCACACTTACTATAATAAGACACAAACTTCCCCATCAACCTGTCACATATAAGTAACTATTCTCTACATAAAACAAAATAGCTTACCGTGGGAATTATGATAATCACGCCACAGATCAGTGCACTTGAGATAAGGAGGAAGATCAGAATGTTTCTTCTCCCAAAACTGTCCATTCCCACACACACAAAAAGATAGGCAGGAATTTCCACTATGCCTGTCATTGAATGAAAGGGCCTGTTAGCTTTGCCCTCCAACTGTACAAGGCACGCCCAGAAGAAGTAATCAATGTTCCCACACACACACACTCCCAGGGTCCTCTAAAGCAACCCTACCGCTTTTTCCGTTTGAAAGTAGTGGCTATTTAAGAACAATCATGACAGAACACTAGCTCATCCTCCTAATAAACCTGTTGATCTGGCATTCCCTGTTGCCAGCATCTCCAGCTTCTACAAAGTGGATGTCTTTCTTCTTCATTCCACCTCGTGAAGAAGGTAACTTGAAGGGCCAGCAGGAGTTGCTTGCCTCTTAGAAGCGTTTCCCAGTAGTTTGGATTTCATGAGTCAGGGCCTCCCTGCAGATGCTGCCATTTGACTGAGAGATCAAGCAATCAATGCATGATCTGTTTGGACCATTAGTTTCTCGTTGATTTTGCCATGCCTGTGCTTGTAGATCAATGCACTTACTGACTTAAGGTTTGGATACCTCCATACAGTATATGGTTCCACAAATCTCAGCATGTGTATTGAAGCCCAGTTGAGCTTAATAAAGGTGCCACTGAAGACCTGACGAGGATAAAGAAGCTGCAACACCTTTCAGATCTTTGGGCTCACACCCTTGGGACCTCTGATCCTGATGATAGATGCTAATTTGGGTCCCACAACTACATAGAAGTTCCCAGTTTTTCTTGCCATCCTAGCAATTTGAATCTTGGTTCCATATATCAGCCTATATTCCTTGTGCTAGAGCTTGGCTTTTTCATAGCTAAGCTTCCTTCTTGCCTCTTGAAGCATCTTTCAGGCAAACTTCTTTCTGAGGCACTTGATCTTCAACTCCACAAAATTCCTTTGCTTTCCCCTAAGGATTTCTGACATAGCAGGAACCTTCATGGTTCAACAAGAAAAAAAGCCCTGCTACTTCTGAACTCACAGGAACAAGAAGGACATTTCTTGTGAAATGCACTGATGCTCACATGTCTGCCTAGCTTATCACTTGCTTAGCTGCTAGGACAGAGCATAGGCACAGTGCCTGCACTTCCAGCCTGCTCAATAAAAGAATGAATGAATGAATAAGACAATATTCATCATCCCTAGAATCTTATGGTTGGCAAAACAAGGGGAACATTTTTGTACCAATAACATCAAACTTAGAAATTAAAATAGAAAGCAAGATTTTCCAAGGAAGCAACAAATTACCCAAATTAGGCAACCTACACAAAAATAACCAGAAATTAAGACTAGATGGCCAATGCAGGTCTCTAGTATTTCTCTTGTTTGGTCTAAATTTAGTTTATCCTGGAAGTCATGCCTGAAGCTATCCCAGCAACATCTGAGGGTCATTTTAACCTAATACTAAAATGAAAGAAGTCTGGCAACATAAATAGAGTTTTGCATGTACTGATACTTTTTTGCTTACTAAAATTTCTAAATTGAGAACATTTGATGGTAGAAAGAAACCAGAGGATCTCAAAGACATTACATTTTAAAAGAAAAGCAACTGACAAAGAAAAATATGTAGCAATTGACCTAGTTTATGTTAAAATAGATGTGCTTAATCTGTACACATGACTGGAAATACACAGAAGGAGATTGAAAAGAAACAAGCCAAGTATTAAGAAGTTACCTTTGAAAGTGAGTTCTGAAAGGGGGTTGGATTAAAGAAGGAAGGAAGCAAGAGAAAATGGCAGGAAAGGAAAGCAGGACTAAATTCATCTGATTATTTACTTTTTTTTTTTTAAAGAAAACATATATCATTCATTTGTAAAATATAGAGAAACAAAGAAACAGACTAAACTAAACCAAAAGAAATGCTAGAAATATAACTGCAGAAGTATGACTGCAGAAGCTAGGGTGGAGGAGGGCTGTAGGGGGTAAGAAAAGGGATGGGGTCAAAAGCAGGTAGGGATCCAAAGGTGAAGGATTGTGTGTGCTTTGGCGGTGGGTGTGGTGTGGTGTCTTACATTTGAAGTGTGAATCTATGTGTTGTAAATCCGTTACCTAAGTTTAAAAAAAAAAAAAAGAATTTCAGTATTTCAAAATGTGAAAAAAGGATATATATACATGTATTATAGTACAATTACACTAAAAGATCACAATCATGTAATTCCTAGTAGGAAAAAAGGACAGTAAAAACATGATGGAAATTTTACATCATCACTGCACTTAAATATGATTAAACTACTTACCCATGAGGAAGAGATTTAAATATACATTGCCTCCTAAGTTAACAGAATTCCAAGAGAAGATGTAGAATCCCAAACACCCTGTGAGCCAAATCAGCCAAACAATAAGCGTCCTTATTCCAATATTCCAGTCGTAAAAGAGATCAAACAGTTTGTGCTTCTCAGCTCTAGAAGATTTATTCCCAACAGGACCACTGAGATCCAGGAGTAAAAGCTCTGACAGTTTACAGGAGGTTCTCCTATTCCACTTGGTCATCTTGTCAACTACTTTTTGTGCCTCTTCATATCTTCCCTCTGACAGAAGCCAAAAAGGTGTCTCTGGGAGCATCCAGCAGCACATGATAAAGGGGACAGACACTGTGGACAGCACCAATTGATATATCCTCCAGTTACTGGTCAAGTAGCCCACCAAAGCCACAATCATGGTTCCAATCGCAAAAAAGGAGTGTACTTGGATGGCGGCCCATGTCCGAGACTCCCTGCCAATAAATTCCATCACATAGACAAACATCACCACAAGATAGCCACTTGCAACCTGAAAGTCAAAGGGGGGAGAGTAGTCCAGATTTAAGGTCATATTTATAACTACTCAGGGGTCTGATCCCTCTGCAAATCATACACACATAAGGAAATGACCCCCAAAAGTGTCTTTGTAAACCCTTATCACATATACAAAATAATGTTTAATCTGATCCACTCTTCTTTAAATGGGTCCTATCATCTTCCCTTATCCTCCCAAATTGGTAAAACTTGAGAGGTTATGTTTGATATAAATGTTAGACACTATCTTTTATTTCCTTCATATGTCCTATTATAGGTTGATTTTACTTCTTAGCTCTTTATAGATGTACATGACAATTTATCTGTATACAATAAGTAGGTCCTTATCAGTAATCCAAAATTGTTGAACGGGGGGCAAGAAAAGTTATGATAACTGTGGGAAGCCAAAAAAAAAACTGATTAAAATTTTATTTTGACAGGCAATAAAGAATAAACAGACAAAATTGGAACTTTATGAAAATTTAAAATATGCATCAAAGGAGACTATCAGCAGAGTAGAAAGGCAGCCTACGGAATGATATTTGCAAGTTCTGGTTCTAATAAGTGATTAATATGCAGACTATATAGAAAATTCCTCAAACCCAACAACAAAACAAACAATCCAATTAAAAACTGAGCATAGGACAAAGAAGACAGATGAAAGACCACGAAAAGATGCTCCCTCCACTAATCACCAGGAAAACGTCGAGCAAAGGCACAATGAGCTAACAGCTTATACCCATTACCATGGCTACTATTAAACAAATAGAAAATAAGAAGAGCTAGTGAGGATGGAAAAAATTAGGACCCTTGTGCACTGTCGTTGGGAATCTATAGCAGTTATGGAAAATGCAGGGATTTTCAAAAAAAACAAAAATAGAATTACCATATCATCTAGAAATCCCACTTTGAGTATATAAGAATTAGAAGTTGGGTTTCAATGAGGAATGTGAGCACCTACAATATTCAGAATATTCACAACATCTATTTACAACTATACAACTATGAAGGCATTCCAAGTATTTGTCACCAGATGGCTAACCTAAAAGCAAAATGTGAGTGTATATACAGAAAATTATTCAGCCTTAAGAAGGAAGGATATTTTGACATATGTGACAATTTGAGTGAACTTTGAGGATATTATGATAAGAGAAATAAGGCAATCACAAAAGAACAAATGCTGTATGATCTCACGTATGTAAGACAAAATCATAGAACGGTAGTTGCCAGAGGCTTCAGGAAGGAGGACTGGAGTACAACTGTTCAATGAGTATGGAGTTTCAGTTTTGCAAGATGAAAACAGTACTGGAAAATGGTGATAGTGATGGATCCCATCAGTCTGAATGTAGTTAATCTCATTGAACTGTTTGCTTAAAAATGATATGCTAAGGCCCTCCCTGGTGGCACAGCGGGTTAAAGTACAGCACTAAGAAGCTTAAGCCACTTCCCGCATGAATTCCATCCCCGCCTGCCCCGGAGGAGATCCACATGGCCTGGCAGACCTCTCCTGACCCGCCCACTGCTCCCTCAGCAGTGTACTTTGTCAGTCTGCCTGTTCTGCTCCCCGCTCTGTCTCTGTCTTTCACCCTCTGCATCTCTGGCCTTAAAAATGGGGGGAAACTTTACTTTGAAAATAGGCCTATCTTTAATTTAACAAAATTTTGATGACAGTAACAATATGTGACCTATCTTAGAATAAACAAAGAGTGAATCAAATGATATATGGAGCAGATGGGTGAGAGGATTAGAATTTTTCTAAAAATTACGTCACATCTGATTTGTACAATACAAACCATAAAGTTTTAATGTTTGCATTGATTTCCAAAAAAAACATCTTTTACTCCTTTGATATTTATAACAAATTTCTGAAATCTCATCATGTCATTATCATTGTGGATATTAACTTCTTCAAAAGTTAATTGCTCTATTTCTTTCAGATCTCAGTTGGTCAAGGATTCAGGCAGATTTCCTCCCCTTACTTCCAAAGGCTTTCAATAATCAAGCATCTTAGTAAGATCTGCAATTTCACCTTGCATCAGAGACTCAGAGAGGCTGGCCTACAAGGACCATCTTGTGACAAAAGAGAAGTAACCCTTGCAATTAAACAGGTAGGCGCTTTGGGGGACTATCCTATCAGTGCGCAATTCAATATTTGTGTGACGAGTTTTTATTTCCACATACAACATTACAGTTGGAATACTCCAACAGTACACCCTGACCACGTGGACTCCCGTATCCAAGTATCTAATTATCTGGTAAATATTTGCTTCCATTACAGCAAATAACAACTGTGATAACTAACCTTCAAATACTGCAAACATCCACATTAAGATATGCTGTCACACCAATCCCCAACACATTTTTTTTTCGGTGTTAATTCTTTCTGATTACACTCCTAACTCCTACTAGTTACTTCTTTCACTGGATTCAGACAATCCACACACAGTCCACACACAATTGCCTAAATAATCCCCCCAAATTCCTTTAATCCATTCACTCCTCTTACCTCCAACAGTAACTCTTTCCCTCACAGCTACCCTGACCCCAGCCCTGCAGTTTGCAGAATGACCATTCCCCTTGCCTGAACCCCTTTTGTGGAATCCCAATGCCTCTGGGAAATAAAGCAAACTCCCACAAGCCCTGTCTAATCACCTGTGCCTCTTCCGCCTCATCAACAGTCTCCTCAACCTTCTCCAGACAGTCAGACCTTCAATTCTGAGCCTTCTGACTCACTGCTCCCTCTGGTGGAATGTGCTCTCACCCATCCCTCAGAACTAAAGAGGCTTGACTCTGCAGACTCTCCCCATTCCCTTAGTGGGTGTCTTCCCTTCCCCCTACTCAGCAGGGGCTAGTTGATTTCAGACTACACTCCAAAGGCAGATCAATAAATGTCGTGAGTAAATAGGTCTGCATATATATTTCTTACTCAGAATTTCTCCACAAATGCATTTCCCATGAAAACTAAAGAAAAGAATTATAGAAAATTAAGGCCACGTTTCACAGAGGTGTTTTATGGGTAACAGTCTCATTTTAACCCAACAGATGGCATTTTGCAAGACTGAAATATTATTTATATGTACATTTCTTTTAAGGGGCAACATCATCAAATCTCCTAAAAAATTCGTTAAACATCTCCCCATCCGAGGCCATCTGTGTGGCTTCCTAGGAACCTGTCCAGCTACTAATGAAGCCTCCAAACCTGAAGACCTTGCTTTCTGAGGGGGTGCACTGACCTCTACTAAGGTTGAAGACTTTTACTTATCCTTGGTCCCTTGGCTCACGCATGCTGAGGCAGGATGTATCCAATCCTTTGCATTCAGCTTCATCACAGGCTCTTCCCACAGATGAAAGCAAAAGCTTCACTTCATTTTCCTTAACCACTGACCTCCAAACAGAATCCCTGCTACTGTTATTTGGTAATTTGGAACCTGTCTGAAAGCGTCACCAAGTGTGTAAACTGCTTCGTCACTCAATGACCCCTTCCCAGAACAGTCACCATGGTAAGAAGAGCCTATTCCATGCCAGGCGTTATGCCAAGGATGTTCATTTTCATCTCACTATATCTGATAGTGACCCAGTGAAACAGGTATTGTTCTCTGCAGTTTACAGGTTAAAATATAAGGTTCTTAGAGGATAACATATGTGCTCAAGGTCACACAGCTAATACATGACAAAACTGGTACAGAAACTCACACCCTGTTCCACTATGCTCTCTTGTTCCTCATAAAAGAAAGGCCTGATGCTCTTTTGTTTTCATTCTTACTGCACATCCTATAAATGACTTTCACAGTGTTCATTCATTTTCTATTTGGCTCATGCATGCAGGACCTGACTAGAAAAAAAATTGCTCAGAAATAAAATAACATCTCTGTAATTGAGGAATGTGGATCACGTGCCAGGTACAGAGTCAAACAAAAATTCTGCCTAGCAAGCAGTAATTTTTCATTTTAATGAGTTTCATTCTAAATACAGGACATTAACATTCCATAGAAAGACTCTGGCAGTGGACTGAACAAAGATTAGTCATTGATCTCTTTCACTAGATTCTCAATAAGCAAAACTAAGAAAGTTAAGGTTTATCATGGAAATACAGCAGTAGAATCAAAGAGTTAAAAAACACAACTCACTATAGCAAGAAAAAAGTATGTGATCAGGAAGCTGTAATAATCAAATGTTAATGCAGCTGATGTGCTAAACAAAAATATGCCAACGCTTGTGAACCACAGGACAAGTCTTCTTCCTATCCTGAAAAATAAGAATCACATAGCAGAAGAAGCAAGGCATAGTGGCAACAGTTTAACATCTGCTCCAACTCATAAAAGAAAGGCTACCCAAATTTTTAATAACTAATGCATTTGATTATTATTACTCATTCATTTATTTTAGGCAAATCATGAGTTATAACATGATTTCTTGAAGCCAGTCCATTGGCGGCAAGGCCTTTGCCTCAGCCAATAAGACACAGATATACTCGTTCTGGGTGACTCCAGAGGACCTCCTTGTTATTATGGAGGGAAGAAGGAAAGCCAGAGGGTTTGTGCTTTTTCTCCCAGGGCTTCTACTACCTGACCGATTGGATCATCTTCCTTAAAGAGCTGGCTTTGCTAAGGGTGGAGGGGTGCTTGCTAAACTCCTCTAAAACCAGAGGGCTTACAACATTCTGCTCCTGGAATAAGGCACTTGCCTGATATTTTTTAAATTAAGAGGGACATTTCTTTGTCTAAAAAGAAACAAATTATATTCTTGGTAATTTTAAGTTGAGGCAGAATTGCCATTCATAACATTCAACTTGTTAAAGTATATGAACCATATTTGTCACAGAGCCTAAAAGTTTTTTATTGTGTTTTACCAGCATGTTTGTTTTATTTCTATTCCACAAACAAGTGGACAATCTGGTAATTGTCTTTCACTTTCTGACTTCTTTCACTTAGCACAATCATCTCCAGCTCCACCTATGTTGTTGCAGAACACAATTCCATCTTTTTTAAATTGTTAAATAATATTTTGCATATATATACTACAATTTATTTCTCCAGCCATTTAATTGTCATTTGAATTGTTTCTGTAACTTGGTTATTGTGAATAATACTGCTAAGAACATAGGGGTGTGTAAGTCTTTTGTTATTAGTGTTCTTATATTCTTCAGATAAATAGATAAAAGTGGTTTTGTTGTATTGTATGGTATTGCCATTATCAGTTTTTTAAGACTCTCCATACCACTTCTATAGAGGGTGTATCAACTTACAGTCCCACCAACAGTCACCATCCTTGCCAGCCAACATGTTGTTTCCAGTCTTTTTGATACATGCCTTTCTCACAGGTGTGTGTGATAGTTTATGTGGTTTTGACTTGCATTTCCTTTATCATCAGTGATGCTGAGCAACTTTTCTTGTACCTGTGGGCCATCAATATGGCTTCTTTCAGCAAGTTTCTATATAGATCTGTTGTTCGTTTTTGAATTAGGTTGTGCATTTTTGGTTGTTGAATCATATGAATTGTTTATATATTGTGCAAATATCTTCTCTCAGTCCATACACTGCTTTTGTTTGTTTTTCTGGTGGCTTCTTTTGATGTACGAAGGCATTTTTTACTTTGATGTAGTCCCTTTTATTTTTGCTTTTGTTTCTCTAGGTATTAGAGTTAAGTACCCGAATACATCTCTCTGAAGTTGGTGTCCAGGAGTGTGTTGCTTATGTTTTCTTTTATGTAATATAGCTTCAAGTCTTATGTAGACATTTTTTATTCATATTGAATTAATATTTGTGTATGAAATTAAATAATAACTTTATTATTTTTTCTACATGGCTGCCATAGTTTTCCAGCACTATTTGTTGAAGAGGATGTCCTTTCCCCATTGTTTGATTGTAGCCCCTTTGTCAAAGATTAATTGTTCACATACATGTAGGTTCATTTCTGGGTTCTCAAGCCATAACATTAGTCTGTATTTCTGAATTTATCCCAATACCATATTGTTCTGGTTACTATCTCTTTGCAGTACAGTTTGGCTGGTGAAGAGTGGTCAGGGACTTTCTTTCAGCTGTGTAAAAGAATACAAGAAAGCCACATAGGGAGCTTTTCCAACAACTTAAGCAATTTTCTGCCCATCCTAAAGTTGTTGAATTCCAATTGAAAGAAATAATTCATGACACTATCCAAGATTTTAAGAACCTGTTCTTAAAAACCTAACTTCCACATCTCACAGGAAGACATTTCTGGAGCAGAACACTGATTTTGAAACATAATATCAGCTACCAAATAATAACTGGGCTCTAATTCTCCTTGAATTTCATTATTCAAATGCTACCTACCTCCTAAAGAGGATATGGATAGTGGGGGGAAGATCACAGCACTCCTCTTTTTTGGTTTCCATAGTCCATATCTTCATCATGTTCACTGCTAAGATAGCCCTGGTCACAACAAAGCCCTGTAACTTTCCTTTGTTCATGTTTATTGGCCCCATAGATTGGCACATACTGACCTAAGCTGTTATCTTTAGATTCCCAGAATCCAGCATATGCCAGTAAAATTTACATGGGAATAAAAGAAATTAATCTCTGGGCTTTATCACAGGCACTGAAAGTGTGGTCCATGTTCACACAGAGATGAACTTTGCTTTATTTTTTAACAGATACACATTCAATTTAGTAACTAGCATATCAAACTCCTGGTTTTATAGATATTACTGCTTAGAATCAGGTTATAACTCTTTCAAAGCAAATCTTTTGAAAGAAAAAATATTCAAAGTAGTAACCAATATCTATGGAGCAGTTATATGTTGACGCTGCTATTTTGTATTCTTCTTATAATACCCTTTTAGGATAAATGCTATTCTTTCTTGTCACCATTTTACAAATAAGATTCTGAAACATAGGTTTTGCTCAGGGTCTAAAGCTAACAAGTGGCCAAACCAGAATCTGAACTCAGGCAGAAGTTTTCAAAACCCGTGCTCTTCCCACTCTTATTTTATGTCCCTAAATAACAGGTCAGCAAAAAAGGTAATTATTTAGATACAAGGTATGCAAATGACTAAAGTTTTTAATATTATTCTCTGTCTCCTAAAAATAATAGCTAGGAACATGAACTCTACACTGATGCAATAAGCTGAAATGTTTTATTTTACCTGTCAGAAAGGTCGCCGAAAATCACCCCTCCTAGCAGGACTCCAAGCATAAATACAGGTTGGATAATCCTTGCAAACCATTCTTGGTTACAGACCAGATCCCACTGGGTCACCACAGTGCTATCCCACTCAGTCTTGTCATAGAAGTAACCGTCTGTGCAAGAAAACCTACTCTTAATTCCATGATAATCATAGTTCAAACTCAACTTCTTGTCTTCCCTTCGGAGCCTTTGACAGTGCGAGAGCTCCCAGACCTCACCGTTCTGGAGCTGCACGGTAATGTGGTCTTCTCCACCTGTAGAAAACAGCATCCAGACGTCGTCAAACCTCCTGTTAGAGATATTGTGGAAAAGAACTTGACTCACGTTCCCTGGGGGTTTGCAGGTATGCTGGGGGCTCACTGTCAGGAACACAGAAGCCAAGTAGTGGATTCCACAAGAGATGTTCTGGAAGGCACACACAAAATAGAGTACTACCTGGAATCTGCAAAGAAAAGGTAGGACAGTTAATATATCTGCATCATGGGCGATAAAAGAACATAGGCACACATGAAGAATTTCCACCATGTTTGTATAATGTATATACAGATGAAAAATACAGGAAGTATTAGATAAGTTTATATATTTATACATTCTGGTTAGCATATGTGTGTATACTAACATGTATATACGCATATAAGCGTATCTGTAATTCTATGTCTGATGGTCTGGCCCTGTCTATCGTAAGGCTCCCCAAAGTAATAACATCCATATAGCAACAAGCATGTTCAGTGTTTCTCAATAGAATTCACCAATAAAAGCAACCAGGAAAAACAACTTGAGTCTGAGACCAGGGTAGGGAGAATATAAGTCTGGAGTATCACAAAGTAGGGAAGTACACAAAATACAAAAAGATGGAACATGTCCAAGGGATCAACAACCAATCTGAAAGCACACCTAATAGCACTTTAAATAACAAATTAAATAGTGTAGTATATTCCAATGTATAAAATAGGTGAGTACTGTGATGGCTAATTTTATATGTGAACATGACTGGGTCAAGAAATGCCCGGACAGCAAACATGATTTCTGGTATGTCTGTGAGGTTATCTCTTGAAGAGATTAGCATTTGAATCACCTTGAGTAAAGAAGGTGACCTCACCAATGGCAAGAACATCACCCACTCCACTAAGGGGTCTGAATAGACCAAAAAAGTAAAGGAAGGGAAACTGGTCTCTGCTTGGACTCACACTTACCCCACCTTTTGACACCAGCATGACTAATTCTTGGACTTCTGGACTTCAAACCACCACTTGCTGCATTGGTCCTCCAATTCTAAGGCTTTTGAACTTAGACAAGGACTTACGCCATCAGCGCCCAATTCTCAGGCCTCAGACATGGACCTTGTAAGTACACATCTGCTTTCTTAGATCTCCTATTCCTAGATGGCATACTATAGAACGTCTCAGCCTCTATAAATATGTGAGCCAATTCCTGTAATAAGTGTCATGTAGATGTGAGATATGTGTAGTAATCTCCTATATATGAGAGACATGTAAAAAATCTGTTTCTGTAGAGCATCCTGATAAATATAGATTGTGGCAGTCAGAGTGATTCTAAAGGAACAGAATCTTAAGGATGAGTTTTCTGAATTGATTCTGGGCCTTCTGGAATTGGTTCTCTTATCTGATTAGATTTAAAGGCCCTGATGATGCTTTAATTCTTCTTAGGGATCCTGCTTTCCTAACTTAACGATGATTCAGATAATGTTTCCTCACCCAAGAAATGAGAAAGAAATAGGGCTCTCTACTTATCGTTTTCACAAGGTTCCCCTAATACTAAATGGTAAAACACAATAACCTCCCTTTTTATTTTAAAGAGGCCAATTAGAGCAAGCACGTGAGGTCCTATGTTATGGTCACACTGTTTTCACCTTCTGCTGTGAGTGCTGGCTGGTTATTCTCTTCTTTCTTGCAAGGTGCTCTCACGAGTCTAACCTTCCCCCAGAATGTAACAAGGATAGTCACGATTATCGAGACCGTACTGAAAAGGACTCCTGCGTACATTACGTGGCTAAGACTTGTCTTCCCACACACATTCTCTCCTTTTTTCACCATGGCAGGGCTTCATTTGGCTTTGTGGGTAAGGGCAACGGGAGCAGCTGCCCCATGCGCAGAGAGGGAGCCCAGTCTGGTTAGCAGAGCCGCCTCACCCATTTGGGCCCCTGGGTCACCCAAGGAACTGATCCTGCGCTGAATGGTTACTGGAGAGAAATAAACTTCCAATTGTGGAATCTCCTTGTTACAACAGCTTGGCCAAACAACAACTACTATAATGACCTTAGTTAATCCTGGAAGTATAAAGAAAGGTATTATTGCCTCCTACCTCACATAGGACTAGTGTGAGGATGATGGGAGAGGCTGACTGTAGAGTCCCTAATAGCAATAAACACTTGTAGTGCCATTATTACTCTCATGTTATAGGTGAGGAAGACTGTGTAGTTAATTCACATACAGCCAGGACTGGAACACCATTACCCAACTCCCAAAACATCTTGTAATCCCCATGTTCTTCTATTCCTAGACGGATAAAATGTGCTAATATATAAAGGACCTGGTTGAGTTCCTGGGACTCAGGAGAACACTGTGGTTAAGAACATGTGGAGGCCAATGGCTATTCACTGCTGCTCACTACTACTATATTTGTGATTTAGGCAAAGCACCATTTCTCACTTTCTCATTTGTTAAAGGGACCCCAAGACCTGGCCCTTATTTGTGTTATTGAGTGTGAGTGTTGTAATCAACACTCCTATTGTTCCTACTGTTGAAGACCTAATCAACTAGGATGTGCTTCTAAGCACCTGTGAGTGTTTAAATGTCCTGAAACCCAACCTACACAACCATCCAGCCCAGCTAATACCCTGCTTACAAAAACCCCAGCTAATAAAACCCCAAAGACCTGTTTTCCTGATAACCTTCACCTTGGTAATCAATCCCATAAACAAAGGTCCCTGGTATGCTCAACCTAGGAGTGTGGCTCAAGGTAGTTGCCTCCCACCCACTGCCCTATAATGTGATTCATAATAAATAGTCCTCACTTGAAACCAGTTATTGGCTCTTTCAAAATCTGTATGGGATTGACTGGTGAAAGTCAGACCAAGACTCTTCAGAATCAGTAAGAAAATGAAACTGATACGCTCAATCAAACAGGGCTGCAGTGCAGAGTAAACACTGTGACATGTACAAAAAAAACAACTGAATGTTCAATAAAACAAGTCGCAGGAGGAAGCAGGGATTGCTGGGGCCCCCCTGACGCTCCTGTGCTGTTTAATCACTTGGTTGCCTCTTTCCTCAGACATAGAATCATCACCAACAGGTGTGCAACTTTCCAAAACGTTGGAGAACAGGTTGGGCAGGAACCTCTATGATCCCTTTTTTATGGATAAGAAACTAAGACACAATATATGTAGAATCACATTATAAGTGGCAGCTCCGGATTCAGACTTAGTTCCAAATCTCACCAGGTGTATGGCACCTCACCCAGCTGCCTACCCCCAAAATATTCTGGGTGAAAAGGGCATTTCTCCATGAACGACTGAGTGAATGAATGAATGAATGCATTTTTAAAAGTTTATTAAATTAGTTCAACAAATAAAAAGAGGGTGCCCAGAATATGAAGGTTAAACCTAGTTCCCACCAACCCATAACGGTGGGTCATTGGTCTCACCAACTTCAGCTTCCCAATCATTAAAATAAGAATTCCAACCGCGCCTCAGCAAGATCCCGGTGGGCATCAAATAAAGCCCTCTGTGCCACCAACGACTGGTGTCCCGACTGGCACACATTAGGTTTCTATTAACAGCAACAAATTGACTAACGGTTTTTGCTGGGGCCATACCGGGGAGGCACTGTGAGAGAGCCCAAACGCGGGGAGGAGGCCGGCCGGGCCAGGAGCCCTCTAGGGGTGTGCTGTGGAGAGGAACAGGCACTCCTCCACTCTGGGACTCGGTCTCCCCGGCTGGGGCTCCCGCTCCCGCTCCCGCAGGGGGCGCCCCAGCTCCTGCCTGCAGCGCCACAGGCGCGCCAGGCGGGGCGCTCACCCACCACTCCCCAGGGAACTCCAGCAGCCCAGATTCGAGGACAAACCCTGGTCAGGGCCAAACATCTGCACATGGGGCTTCAGACGTCTCTGGGAAGCTGGGAAAGGCGGGGTGGACAGGTTTCCCCATCGCTAACGCCGCACGCGAACCCCACTGCAACGGAAAGAAACAGACCCCAAGGCGCCTCCACGTGGCCGCCCCACTCTGACTCCCTACCTGCCAAAGTGCCCCACGTGGTCAAAGATCTGCTCCAAGTTGCTGGACCTCAGGGAACTGCAGTGTACTGCTCTGAGGGGCGGGACGCCCCCGGACGGGCTAACGTCCTGGGCTTCGGACCCCGCGCCGCGCTCCGGCCCGGCCAGCAGCGCCCTGGAGGACCCGACCATACTATCGGCGAGAAGCAGGGCGTTCCGGCAGGCCGAGGCCGCGAGGACAGGCCCAACGGCGGGCAGCACGACTGACTCGCTGTCCCGACTTCGCCGCTGCGAAAGGGTGGCGGGCCCCGGCCGCGCGCCGGCCCCAGCCCTCAGTCGGCCTGGGCGCCGCGGCGCTCTCCCCGGCGCGCCTCTGACTGCACGCGCGGGAGGGAGCGCCGACCCCGGCCCCGCGCCCTCATGGCCACTCCGCCATGTTCTGCGCCCTCCCGGCGTCGGGTCGCGCCTGACAATCACTGTGTCCTCGTGGTTGCGCCTCTCAGGCGGCCTTGCGGGCTCCGCTGGGCACACAAGAGGCCCACACGCGGCCCCCGGCGCGGGTTCCCCCCCCCCGACGGCCCCTCCCGGTGTTTCTGGGTTCGGCATTCCTTTTTGTCAGTCCCTCTTCCCTGAGGGGGCTCCCCCCACGGTCAGCCTCTTCCCTGTGGGGGTGGGGGCGTCATCGGGCCCACGGTTTGCACCTCCAGCTCCTGTCCGTTGGGACCGACCTGCTCCTTGCCATTTCCTGAGTGGTGAAATGGTTCCTGCCTCGGAGGTGAGGTGAGGTGAGGCGGCATCCGAGGGTGTTAATTTGTACTTCTCTTGTAAAGAGTAATGTTCAACACGTTCTCCAGTGTCCGCTGGCTCCCAGAATGACTTCTTTGAGAAGTGACCATTGAGGTCCTTTGCCCATTTTTTATTGGGTCTTTTTTCTCTTTGCTCTTGGATTGTGTTAATGCTGTGTGAATTTTGGAGTTGAGCCCCTTGGCATACCCCTGTATGTTGTGCAAGGACTTTTTCCCCTGGTGTAGGGTGCCTGTTTGTTTTGTGATGGCTTCTTTTGTGGTGTGACAGCTTTTAAGTTTAGAGTCCCGCTTGTTTGTGCCTTTGCTTCCCTTGCTGCTGAAGTTGTATTGCCAAATACATCCTTGTAGCAGGTGTCTCCTATATTTTCAATAAAGTACTTTGTGTTTCTCTTCTTGTGTCTAAGTCTTTAATCCTTTTTGAGCAAATTTTCAAGAGTTCGCTAGTAGCTATTTATTGGGGTGGGGTTTTTTTTGACAGTATTTAGTTAATTTAGCAAGTAAAATGAATTCTGTTAGCTAATGGGACAGATTTCTTCATTTGAAATTAAGGTTCTTATTAATTGAATGTGGCTGTTAATATCAATTTAATATCATCAATAATAATTAAATTATTTTCCAACCTAGCATATGATTTTCTTCCAACTCGGGTGTTTGTATATAATTTTAAATTCTTTTTAATTTGGTGTTTGTTTTTACATGTGAATCACCAATAGTTAATGTTCTTCATTTCATTTCATCTTTTTTTAAAGGAGATCTTCTGAAGAAAAGTAATTTTTGTGCAACACCAGTAATCTTGTGATTACCATAATGGCAAATAATCCAAATATCTTATTATTACACAATAACATTAAGCGAGTGGAGGGAAGATACAATGTTAGTATCTACCATTATATGATTTATTCCTTTCTACATTTTCACATAGCTTTTGAAGAATAGCACAAGGACACACCTCTACATACTAACCTCTGAAAGCATTTTAATACAAGAATTTTTCACATAAATGTAAACATAAATATAATACAGGGAATTTAAACCAAAACATGAGAATCTTATTAAAACTATCTTTTAGTTATACAATTTCTTCTAAAAAATACTTCTAACCCTAACTTAGATAGGAGCATGGTTTAAGACTCTTGGATACAAAGTAGGAAGAACACTCTAGAGCTGTGAGCAGTAACTGCCACAACTACTACTGTTGCTGTGGTTGTCGTCATCATGGCACAAATAACTCACCAACCTCGATGAGGTCTGGATTTTTTCAAAGATTAGAGTGCTAGATGTGATAATGAACACCAACCCAGTTTCCCGCAGGCTATCAAAGGAAACAGAGTTTGAAAAAGGTTGCTTAATTTGTCTACAAACTGAGGAGGGCAGCAGACTCATGTCTAAAAGACCACTGTCCTGTTCTTTGGCAGGGAGTGGGTGTAGTTATACAAAGCAGTGAAGAGCCGGGAAGCTGGGCAAGGGTCGGCACCAGCTCTGCTTTTAAAAAACCCTGGTATTTAATTATCCTGATGGGAATATGCTTTCTTTTCTTTAGTATACAGGAAGACAAACTTGTTGAACAAACAAACTTGTTCAATACAAAACAGACAACCCAGAGAGACAGGGATATTTCTCTGTTGTCTTTGCATGCGATGAAGTAAGCAAATTAGAACTAGTAACTACATAAAATTACTTTAATCCCCAAATAGTTTTTGTCTGCATAATGTGAACTTCTAAAGAGAAAGGTACTTGATAATTACCTCCTGGGGTTTACTCTGGGAAAGGTTTCTCCAGAGCTCCCCTTTCAGCCACACGTGGCAAGTCTCTCCAAGACAGAGACGTCAGACATATTTAAGGAACAGGTTTATTAAAAAGAGGACAGTTGCATAGACACAAGCAGGCAGAAAGAGCTGCTCCAAAGGGGCAGGCTTGCTGATAGAGGCCTGCATGGTCCCAGGCAGGCAGCCTTGAGGAGAGCGGCCTCTGCTGAAGGAGGTCAGTGAAGAGAAGCCCTGGCAGGTGCAGGTCACGGCAGGCAGGCGGCTGCTGCCCTGCAGAGGGAAAGAGCTGGTGAGAAGAAGCGCCTGCATAGGCACAAGAGGGCAGAAAGACTGCTGCCCTTCTGTGGGGGCCATGCTGGGTTTTATGATCTTCTTTCGGTAGGGAGGGGCTCATCTTGGTGAGTGGATATTTGTTCCTTAATCCCCAAATCTTCATCCTCAGGTGACACTCCTGCGACAGTTTGACACCTGTCTAGGTGTTGTGCCTCCTGATCTGGGTGTTGAGGTCTTGGTTTTTATAACTTAATCAATGGCTTATGCTAATTAATCCCTTCTACCCCTACCTCCTTGTGTGAAAAGTTTCCTGATTTTGAGGCGTCCCAGCCAGCCTTTCTATTCCTACCCTCCATCAGTAAATACTTTAAAATTTGCTAGTAAGTTTTTTTAGACTTACTGTGATCAAAACTTTTAGAAAAGCAAGATTAGGATGATGCTTTATATATTATAAATAAAGACAATATATCTTGATTCAAGAACCAAGCAAGAGTTAAATATAAAACCCTGGTGGCATTCACCTTAAGGGGAAAGGTAGAATAATGCTTCCTCTGTTTCAGTGAATTCTGAAGTTCTGGACAATTTAGTTAGAATTAAATAAGCTTTTACTCTTTTTTTGAGTTGATACATTAGGAAAGTTTCTGTATGTATTCATTACATCACAGGTAATTTCCTTTTCAATTTTCAGTATTTTCATCTGCTATTTAATATCATTTTTCTCCCACACAAAATTCAAATTATTTTTATTCCAGCAATTTTCTGCATACAGAACTATAAATTGAAAGCAATTCATAAGGTACAATTCTGTTAAATGACCTATTTGCAAATACTAACTCTATAGCTCATGATTCAAAGTTGTGTTTTAGAAACATTACATGTAGCAGTAATTCTTGAATGTGTGTTCTGTTTTACAGGCCCTAAATATTAAGAATGTTAAAGAATGTCAATACCACTTTATTAACTCTTTGATCATAAAATAGTAAACATCATTTTAAAGTATGCCTCTGTATATATTGTATATATGTGTGTGTGTGGTAAAAAAAAACTCTACAAGTCTTCAACAAATTTAAATCTGTGGTCTAGTCAGATTTCCCCCAAGAAAATCAAGGAATAGTGTTTAATCAGATGTTGTTCCTGACTACCCAATAAACTCTTCCCATTACACTTTGACACATTGAAGAGGCAGCTTCTAAGTAGATAGTTATAAAAAATCCCCTTGCTAGAAGACACCCCACCTAGGTACAATTAACATACCAATGCAATCATAATTAACAGTTTGCTCACTTTCAGATTCTCCCTAGACAAGGTTTATGACTGGGTCTCAGCATGCTTACCTATACAAAGGTTGCAATTCAGAAGGTCACCGGCCAAGCGGGTCTGTCTCCATTGGCAACCTCCAATTAATTGTATAGCTCTCTCACTCCCTGGTTGTGTGGCGCCTTGCATCAAAGAGTACTTGCCAGTTGTAAAACAGTCTATCAGCGTAACAAGTATAAAAATTGTCATCTATAAAACTAACCCTTTGTCTTCAGGCCTTGCTCAGACTTCCCATCTCTGGGTCCACATTCACATATAATTAAAGCTTTTCCTGACTTAACCATACCTGCTTGTCTGCTTGTCTTTTCATTGCTGGTGGGGGGACGGGAAGGGTAAACCCAGATTCCCACTACAACATAACATATCTCATAGCACATCGCTTTCTGTAAACCTGATTTTATGTTAGTCCACTTCTGGGTAATTATGAAAGGGTTAGTATTTAAAGGACCTGAGCAGTATTGGTGAAACTAAAATTTACTATCAAATTCTACCAAACTATGAAGAGACCAAAATTATAGATTGTCATTCTTCATTCCACTCTTGGCAGAATTCATTCTGTAGTCAACCGCTCACAGCAATAGTGGCTTTGCTAAAGAAATCGTGAAATAAAATTGCATACCATTCCATCTCTATTTTCTTTCTTAAAGATTTACTTATTTATTTATGCATACAGAACTGGGGTATAGGCCAGAGGTGCAGGAGCAGTGAGAGGATTCACCAGAGTCAGAGTAGGGAGTAGAACAGGCAGATCAGCGAAATATACTGCTGAGGGGAGCAGCAGGTGAGACAGGAGAGGTCTGCTGCGCCATGTGGGTCACCTCCGGGGCCAGTGATTGAACTCACACTGAAGAGGCTGTGGCCAGCTTGCAGTGCTGCATCCTAACCCGTTGCACCACCAACAAGGGCCCCATCTCTCTTTTCATGTGTACATTTTAAATCTCCAAAAGTATTAGCAAAGAAACGGATTCAATTATTCAGAATTGTTAAGATAGGATCACTTGTTTATTATGCCCATGTTGGTTTTCTTTTCTACGTAATCAGCTCCATTCTCTCAGTTCAGAAGTTTAGTTTTTAGTCACAAGGAAGGAATCTGAACAATATTATTATTTGAGAGTCACATAAAACATTCATTCAAAAAAGCACCTGCACTCCTGTGTTTATTACAACACAATTCACAATAGATAAGCTATGGAAACAACCTGTGGGCCAAAAATAAATGACTGGATCAATAACACAATGGAGTATTACTCAGCAATCAGAAAAGATCATGCTCAATGAAGTAGCCAGAAAGAAAAGGAAAAATACCAGATGGTTTCACTTACAGGAGAATTGTAGGAGCCCAAATAAGGGAGTGGAGTAGGGCTTGTAAATATAACAGTAAAAATCAAAATCAACCGACAACTATAATCTGGAGACATTCTTTGGGTGTAGGGGGAAGAAAATG